TGTAGAAAATAAATTGATGGAGACTCATTATTACAAAACAAAACATTGAAAGAAACCATGTTCATACCGTTTTTCTAGTCAATGGTAATTAATGTATTTGTCAATTTAATCTTAGAATTAATTAGTTTATGCTTTAATATGCTGATTAACATATTAAAGTAGATATATGGTTGGGGAAATAAATAAAGGTCAAGAAAACACAAATGAGTATCGTGAATTTGTCCTAGAAGACTGCAGGTTTTTTTAGAATGTTTGCTCCATTAAGGAACCTATATATATGGTGAAAAAAGTGTATTAAGATTTAAACTTTATTATATCTTTACAATAAACAAATAAATGTTATCTCACTAATGATAAATAAATTTTGAGGGAAAATCTTTATTAAATATCAATCCTTAGATTAATTTAATATTAAAATCATATTATCTTATTACTTAAATTTCATAAATAAAAAAACCAGGCATATGCAGAACACGTGAATCATCTTTCTCTTAGGAACTAAGTTCACAAAGAGGATAAGGTGCTCTCCCTCAATCTCAAGCTCAATTAGATGAATCTTTCGGTGACAGCTATTGTAAAAATTTGTCTGGTTGATTATGGTGATATCAGGAAAATATAAAATTGTATACAATATCATAGAAAATCAGAAATGCAATATCAAAGCATAAAAATTGCAGAAAATTAAATCCGAGTCCAATATTGAATATTGTGTCCTTAAAACAATTTTGTTCCTTCAACGGTGTCTAAGGTTCGTGGACAAATGTCTTATTTCAATGATGGCACTACCAAGAAAAAATAATATCAGCAAACACAATGAACATTGATCAATCACACATAAAGGCAATATAGGAGGATTAATCTTAGTAGAATTTTTGGTAAAGAGTCAGGAAAACTAATCATTTGAATTCATTTGGACATAGATACATAGGAAAAGTGTTTGTCATTTTAAATGACATAACACTCTGTCCTTTTAAGAGAGAGACAGACATAGAAAAAAAATTTATTTAAATTTTAAATTAAAAAAAAACCAGACACTCTCTCCCATGATTTTCATTTTTCTGTGTCTGTATTTCTTTTAAAATGACATAACTTATATCATTTAAAATGACAAACACTAAACCCTACATATATATAGGAGATGAACGGTAACAAGCTCAAGAGGTACGACTATTCGGAAACGAAAAGACGTGACTTTTCAAAAGCAAGAAGATGCGAATGTTTGCAACCGAATAGACACGACTATTCACAAATGAAAAGGCTTGACTATTCGCAAACGAAGAGACGCGACTCTTCTAACTACTTATTCATAACTCATTTAGAGTGCATTTGGATGGCCTTTTAAAAAAAGCTACTTTTATGCTCTGCTTATTTTAAAAGTGTTTTTTTATAAAAGTTAAAATTATTTAGATTTTTTAAAAAAGTTTAGTTTTTGAAAAAAAAATTGGCTTTTGACTTCTTTAAAAAAATAATTTTTTGACTTTTTTATAATTTCTGCTTTTTTAAAAGTAGCCATCCAAATACACTTTACAATAAAAGTGTTTTTTTTAAAAAAAATAACTTTTGACCGGAAAAAAAAGGCTCATTTCCTTTTCTTTTTTTTGAATCCCAGTTGTTGCATTTTTTTCCAACTAAGTTTTTTTTTTTTGGTAAACAAGTTTATCTTTATTTATTGAATGTCGTCATTTTGACGTCATTAAATACTCAAGTAAAATTCTATGCAAAGAACAATAATGGGCATTAGTTTTTTTTTCCCTTAAAAAAAGAAAAAGCTTAACACAGTAGAACGCCCTTGATAATTAGACAGGGAAAAACAAAGCAATGTAATGATATAATAAAAACCACGAAGACTGTTTGATATTTCGAATTTAATTTCACTCAAAAAGTAAAGATATCAGGGAAAGATCCTCAGATAAAAACAGTGAAACAATTTCAAACTACACTCTCAAATTTTTTTTTTTTTTTTGGTAAGCTACACTCTCAATTATTACACGATTGAATTATAACATAAATTCATATTAAATTAACAAAATAATAACTTACCAAATAAATTTAATCTAGAAGAATCCTATATAACTTTAAATATTATTATTTTTCTATTTTTTAGTGCACTGGAATAGTTAGATATTAAAATTAGTTTTAGATATACAAAGAAAATTTTGTAATGAAATATAATATCCCATTAACGAGTAACCACTATAAAATAATTTTTTTTGCTAATTTACGGATATTAATGCTTTTTGTTAACTATTTGAAATTATTTAAGGGAAGAATGTTTGTCATTTTAAATGACATAAAATTATGTCATTTTAAGAGAGAGATAGACACAAAATATATTTTTTATTTAAAATTTAAATTAATTAGGATAAGTTATTCTACCTACTCCCTTCTTGCCTACCTTTTGCCTACCTATTTCATCACAGTTAGATTACAATTTAATCCAACGGTTCATAATTGCGAAATAAAATAATTCTTTTTTCCCTTTCTCTTTCTTCACTTCCTCCCACACCATTTCTCTCTCCTCCCCTTCTTTCTTCCTCTGCGATCCCATCGTCATTATCAGGTTTATTTTCGCCCTCTTTCAGAAGCTTCACAATGAACTTGAGAATTGCACTTGTGGATGCAAACAAAGCACATAGCTTATTTTGGTTTACGAGATTCTATGGCCGCGTGGATAGAATTCAAGGTTTTGATGGCAAAGAATGAAAAATGATTTTGCACCTTCCTACTTACATGAATAATGAAGGAACCCAAATATTGTAGATTATCAATTCTACAATTGTACAGTCTATTGTAATCTGGTAGTCTAGAAAAATCTCTTCTTTTTCTTCACGAATCAAGAATTGCCTTTTAAAAAGAAGGTCAAAATAAAAATAAAAAAATAAACCTTATAAGAACGATGATTTCAAATGTTGTGGTGGATGAATCGCATAATGCTTCCGCGCGTTCACCTCGACGGAGATCAGAGATAAAGAAAAAAAATAGGTATTGAGAGATCAAAAGGATGTGTCGGGATAGCAGAGGAAGAGAGAAAGGGGATGAGAGAGAAAGGGTGTGGGAGAAAGTGAGGAGAGAGAAAGAAAAAAAAAAGATTATTTTATTTCGCAATTATGGACCGTTGAATTAGATTGTAATCCAATGGAGATGAAAGAGGTAGACAAAAGGTAGGCAAGAAGAGAGTAGGTAGAATAACCTATCCCAAATTAAAAATAAACATCCACTTTCTCCCCTCTGATTTCTATTTTTTGTATCTCTCTCCTAAAATGATATAACTTATGTCATTTAAAATGACAAACATCAAATCCATTATTTAAAGTAGTAAGTATTATATATTTTTATTTTAATACAATAATAACTTACTTTTTATTTAGAGTAAACACCTTTTTTAGTCCCTGGCAATATCTACGAAGTCCTTTTCAGTCCCTGGCAATAAAAAAGAACCAAATTGGTCCCTGAAAGTACAAGAAAAAGGCCACTCTACATATTTAGGAGTTGACATAAGGACTAACATGACCATTTTTTTGTAATTTCAGGGACCAATTTGGTCCTTTTTTATTGTCAAGGACTAAAAAGGACTTCGTAGATATTGACAGGGACTAAAAATGATGTTTACTCTTTTATTTAATTATCTTTCTTCAACCATTATTCTATAGGTACATCAACAAATTCCAAATAGTAATTAAAAAAAATAGAAAATATAATAAATTTGTTAAGTATTTCATTAAGAAATTATGAAATTACTCCCCTTTGTCTTTCCATCTACAAAGCAAAATTCAATGTTTTGCAGAATAAATCTTAAATTCGATTTTGAAGCCGTGATCCGATTGGCATGCTTACCATTTGATCAGGTCATAGATGCATATACATATTTATTTGTTGCGAAACGTGATATAATTATTGGGAAAAATATTACTTTATAAAAATATCTCAAGTGAACTCAAAACGATGTCGTTTTAAGGTTATAAGATTAAAAAATTATAATAATAAAGACAAATATAACACTGTAATATATTAGAATTACAAAAAAAAAATTAATTTTCGTCTCAAAATAATTTCATTTTGAGCTCATCAGCTCCATTGACGAGAGAAATATTTTACCATTGTATAATAACTTAGAATTAATATTTCTTGTGTTACAAAAGATATATTTTATCTTTTATTTATATAAAACAAAAAAATATTTCTGCTGTTACGGCAGATAAGTTATCTGCATTTATTTTCAAAACGACTTCGTTTTGAAATTGAAAGATCAAAAAATTATAATTATAAAGATTATAATAACTCTAAAATAAATTAAAATTATAAAAACATCTTGATTTTCGTCATAAAACGATATCGTATTAAGCTTAATGCAAATAACTTATGTGTGGATTTATTATCTCATGTTTGCTTTTCGTGAAAAAATACCAATTGAAGTGGAGGGCTTGTCAAACAACAAGAGGCTGAGATGATGGCAGAAAAAACGAACCCATATAGAATCCTACGTAAGTAAAAGAGAAAGATAAATAAAATATAAACGAAATAAACAATAAACTCCTTTATTGTCAGTTTTGACTATACTTTCAAAGAAAGATAATATTAATAATTATATGACAGTCATTGAATCTCATGACCCAAAAAAAAATTATAGTGGGGTTGGAATCAGTACTATGAAGAAGACCAAGAACGTAATAGTAAAAGGATGGGGTGTAATTAAGAAATAAAAAACGTTGTTTCCCAAAGTAATTGGGAAGTTGTTGAGAGCAATCAGCACAACCTCAGTGCCCATTTGTTACGCCCACCGTGGTTCATAGGGTCAAACCAAAAGAGAAAGAAAGAACCCCACATGGCACGTACACACACCCCACCCAGTTTGATTGATATAGCTCAATCCTTTTTTCAATAGTTGTTTGTCTCTTCTCTTGTACCGGTACATGTTCTTTTTGCATTCCGTCAACATCTTCATTTGCATTAAGGCCATTCACTCATCCAACGCATATTCACAGCCACATTTAAACACTTTCCTCTCTTTCTCTTATCTATATAACAAACCCTTTCTCCTCCTCTCAAACCCCATCACCAAATCCTCAGATTCCTCACTTGCCCATCACCTCCTTCTATCAAAACAAGTACTAAAGTTTGCAACTTTCTTTCTGTTTGCATGTTGGGTTGCTCAAGGATTTGAGATTTGGAGAAGCAAAGTATTTGGGTTCATCGAAAATAAGAAGAAGAAGAAGAAGAAAGAGATAAATTTGTGTGGGTTGAAACCCTGTGTTGACGCATTGTAGACATCACGGCTTTTTACGGAATTTCTCGGCCTCTATTTCATGTCCGAACTGTACGACGGAAGGGTTGTGTAGAGAGCAACCCTTCGCCGCACGGTGGGCGTGGTGCTTTGCCTTCCGAAGGTGGTAGCCCCTCTGACCTCCTCTTTCTTGCTGGTGGTGGTGCTTCTTCCATTGTTGTAGTAGTGGTAGCGTGCTAGTTTAGGCTTTAGGTAGTTAAGATTACAAGGTAAAGCTACTAAAAGAGAGATTTAGTAAGATAAGATCTCGTTCAAGGTGTTTGTTGTTGTTTTTGTTTTTGTTTTTGTTGTTCTTGTTCTAGTTTTGTTGCTGTTGTTGGTTTTGGGTGTTTAGTTTGCTAAAAATGATGTTGAGAATTAAGAGAGTTCCCACTGTGGTTTCAAATTATCAAAAAGAGGAGGCTGGAGAGGCTGCTCGCCGTGTCGGGGGTTGTGGTCGAAATTGTCTCAAAAATTGCTGCATTCAAGGTATTTGTCTATGTTAATTGCTGGTTATATTTGTGTTTTTCTGGTTAGCATGCATGGAACGATTGTTCGGTTATTATTATTATTATTTATTTATTTATTTTTGTGTGTGATTTTTTGGTTTTTGGTTTCTTAACAGATGCAAAGCTCCCTTTGTATGCTTTTAAAAAGATTAACAAGGTTACTGGAAAGGACTTGGCTCTCCATGAATGTGGGGAGCCCCCCTTGGCCTTTTTGGACTCGCTTGTTCTTGGGGAGGTAATTATGGAATTTTGATGATGGAGAATTTTTTAAAAGATTTAATTTTTTTTCTCTTCAAGTTTTATTATTATTATTATTATTATTATTATTATTATCAGTATTATTATTATGTTTTGTGTTAAAGGTCGTTTACTATTTCATGGCAGTGGGAAGATCGCATGCAGAGAGGACTTTTTCGCTATGATGTTACAGCCTGTGAAACCAAGGTCTGATTTGTTTTCCCTTTTTATTAATCTTGTCACTCTGTGGTTGTGTTGTGCTTTATGAGGATGCATAGATGTGTTGTATGAGCTTTGTTTGATGTGTTTTTATGGTAATTTTGTTATAGGTGATTCCGGGTGAGTATGGTTTCATTGCTCAGCTTAACGAGGGTCGTCACCTCAAGAAGAGACCAACTGAGTTCCGAGTTGATAAGGTCCTCCAGCCCTTTGATGAGAACAAGTTCAACTTTACTAAAGTTGGGCAAGAGGAGGTCCTGTTTCAATTTGAAGCTAGTGACGATGATGAAGTGCAATTCTTTCCTAATGCTCCAATTGATGTTGACAATTCTCCCAGTTTTGTTGCCATCAATGTATAGTTCTCAGCTCTTGTTCGGATTTTTTCTTTGCGAATTCATCATGCTAAAGTAGGTGTTTTATATGATGATCTTTGTTTGTTTGTTTTCTTAACAGGTCAGTCCTATTGAGTATGGGCATGTTTTGCTGATTCCGCGCATTTTTGAGTGTTTGCCTCAAAGGATTGATAGTGAGAGCTTCTTGCTTGCACTTCACATGGCAGCAGAAGCCGGAAATCCGTATTTTCGATTGGGTTACAACAGCTTGGGTGCTTTTGCAACTATTAACCATCTTCACTTCCAGGTACTAGATACTTAACATCTTAAGATTACCGCCTCATCGGTCAATGTTGATATTCATTGTTTATGATTGTGCTCTGTCAATGATCAGATTGCAATTCTTTGGTTTTGACATATGCAGGCTTATTATTTGGCTGTGCCCTTTCCCATTGAGAAGGCTCCTACTAAGAAAATTGCAAATTCAAAGGGTGGTGTGAAGATATCTGAATTGTTGAAGTATCCAGTTAGAGGTCTTGTCTTTGAGGGTGGTGATACGCTGGAAGATTTATCAAACATTGTTTCAGATGCTTGTATCTGCCTTCAAAACAACAACATACCTTACAATGTTCTTATTTCTGATTGTGGAAGGCAAGTCTTTCTGTTACCACAGGTAAAGTAATTCTGGAACTAAAATTTTCCAAATCCACTTTCATTAGTTGCATGTGTATTAATCAAATGGTTTAACAGTGTTATGCAGAGAAACAAGCTCTTGGTGAAGTGAATGCTGAGCTTCTTGACACCCAAGTGAATCCAGCTGTGTGGGAAATTAGTGGGCACATGGTTTTAAAGAGGAAGGAGGATTATGATGAGGCTTCTGAAGCCAATGCTTGGAGACTTCTTGCTGAGGTTTCCCTCTCTGAAGAGAGGTTTCAAGAAGTCATTGATCTTATTTTTGAAGCCATTGCTTCTGGTGAGTTAGATGTCAATCTTCAATGTCTCGAGGAAGGTGATGCAGTCAACTCAAGCACACCCCCTGCTGTGGTGGCTGGTTCACAAGAATGTGTTGTTCTACAGTAACAAGGCTCCAATGAACAATTTCAGTGATTCTGCTATATTAAAAAAAAAAAAAAAAAACCTGAATTATGTTACCATCTATGGTAGCAGTTGTTAAAGTTGTAATACTATGTTGTGCCTCTGGGTCATGTTTTCTATTTATTCTCTGGTTTATGTGGAAGTACGATGTAATAACTGCTCTCATGAGCTTCTTGTCTGTTTAGTGTTAGTGATTTGGTGTATGATGGTGCTTGACTATCTCACTGCGAGAAATATTAAGTACAGGTGTCTGGTTTTCCTTGGCTAAATCAGATTGCCACATGTAGTTCTTAAGGATGATGTTGCTGTATTTCTGGGTCCACTTTTTATTAAATCTAGTTATATATTGTTGTGGTTCTATGTTGTTATAGCTTCAACAATGTTCTTTTAATGTTATTTAACTTCTGTTTCAAGTTAACCAATTTTTTTTATTTTTAAATTTTCATTCTTATAAAATAAGTTAAAATTAAGCATCAACATTGAGCTTTTATCACTTGAGGTAATATAATGCGTGAATGGGATACCAACCGAGCAGGTTCATAATTTATGCAGTTTTCTAAGACAGTTACCATCTTTTTCTAAAGGCATTGCCATTTTCATGTGAATTGATGGTCCCAGAATACTAGGACCTGAATTACGCTAGAAAGTTATCTTATTCTGAGGATTGATCAACATAAAAGTGTTAAGCTACTAAAACTCAGCAAAAAGTTGATAAAAAGTGTAACTACCTAATATAGACAATGTCCACCGCCCTTAGCACAAGGCCATGCAAGTAAAACATGTCCCTCTGGCTTGTTAGAAAAGCCAAGTTATCTCAACATAAATCTGCATATATTATATATTTAGGTTTCAATATCCTAGCCTTATTAACACTTACTCAAGATGGCTCTACAAGCACAATCTTCATCACTTGTGACATTGCTGCTGCTGCTGTTTCTGGTCACAGTAATGGGGAATTCAATTCCAAAAGCAGGGTACGAAAATGCCACTACTGCCTCATCATCATCATCATCGTCAGAGCTGAAGAAACTTGTGTACCAAAACGATGGATGCACAAATGTACCATGGACGTGTAGCCAGGGAGAATTTCCACCAAGATATCTATGCTGTGATAACAGGTGTGTGGATGTGACTCAAGACACATACAATTGTGGGGTATGTGGTTATAAATGCCAATTTAATTTGCAATGTTGCGGACGTAGGTGCGTTAACATAAGAATAAGCCTTTTAAACTGTGGTCAATGTGGAAGAATATGCCCCATTGGGAGGTTATGCATATTAGGGACGTGTGTCTTTCAGCAACCATTGCAACCACTATTCTCTCCTGAGCTACCAGAGCAAAAGCCACCACAACCACTGCCCCAACAACCTCTATATCCCAAAGAGCCACCTCCAATGGACTAAATTTTAATAGATTGTGGATGGTGTTTTATAGTTATGTCTCCCTGGTTTCAAGTTTATGCCTTTGTTTTACGGTTTTCAAGTCTTCATGTGCAGTAAATGTTGGTATGAATTGTGTGGTATTGCTGTTACATATTATATTAGTTTGTTGGGTTTGATGCTTTCTATATTAGTAGAAAAGCATGGCAATGTTATATTAAGCTTATGTAATTGATTAATATTTCTTTTATAAAAATTACAAATTCCTATATATGAAATCATTTCTGGGGTCACATATGAATGAAGTGAAATGGCTAGAAGACATGCAATGCTTTATTAGTTGTTTGAGCCACACCACAATGAAAATTGAGAGTTTGGCTTGCTCAAGCATGGAACATGATAAGGCCCCAGCTCATAATCTCAGTTTATGATATTTCTCACTCTGATATTTGGGTACAATCCCATATTCATTTAAAAGAGAACAACATTGCATTCAACAACGTGGAATATTCTTTTTCTAGAAATGAAATTTTGATTTTATGGTGATTGAGGCAAGGCAAACTGTTAGAGAAATATAAAATTATTAATGTAGCCTCACCCAACAGCTTCTTAAGTATTTAAGTTAAATTAGTTCTTTACATGGTATCAGAACTTTTAATTTGGGAGCCTTTTGCTTCCGCAGCCAGAGACTTTGGTGCGGATCCTTCTTTACATATCAAAGCTGATGTGATTAAGTGGTTACGAATTCGATCCTCATTGCCCCATTCTGTTAATGAAAATAATTAAATATTGTGAAGTTTCTTAGCAAAGATAGGCTGAGCTTGATGCATCATCTACCTTCAAGCCCAATAAGCTCTCGTATGAAGGGACGTGTTAGAGAAATATAAAACCACTAATGTAGTCTCACCGAATAGTTAAAACTTTTAGGTTGAATTGGTTCTTTACACAAACTTATAAATTTCAAGAGAAATTTACAAGTACAAATGATAGACATATTTAAAAATAAGAAATATTGATGATTTTACATCTGCTATTCTGTCTGTGATGGATGTTTCTGATTTTTAGCATGAATTTAATCAACTCCAAAGCCAGGCGTTCTAACACAAAACTCCTAGCTCCTCTTCCACAAAAGGAAAAGAATATTGGTCTCATACAAGCTATGTAGATGCGGAAATGGTAAAGCACATTGGTCTCTTATAAGCAATTCCAGAATAAGAATCACCATTCATATAGAGTTTGAAGAAGGATACTTTGAAGTGCGCTTTATATAAAACTAAAAAAATATGTCATGGTTTATAATCAAATATCAAATAAGTTTTGGACTAGAACACATATCTTCAAATTTGAAATTTCTGTATATTCAGTAATTGTTGTTTAAAAATAAAATAAATCATTAATATGAACTACAAACACGATTTGGACAATTATATACACACATTCAACTCAATTCTGAGCATTTCACATTCACACAAAGACATGCTACATCTTCAAACTTTAAGACAGTTAATGGCCTCCTCCTAACTTTTCCTTTTCAGAGCTGCTGCATTGGCTATTAGTAATTTTTGTCTCACATTCCATTTAGTTAACCTTGGTCTTCTCAGTTTCTTCTGAACCTCTTCTCTTTTGCTGTTCTTGATTCTGTTTCAGTTTCTGTACTGTTTCTAAGTTCTTCCTCAGTAAAGCAATCTCTCTAATATAGTAGTGTTGTCTGTCGATCACTAATCCAAGGAATAGAGAGAATCCTGCCCAATAGTTTCCATTTTATGGGATTTGAAATTCATTAGATTCTGAGTATAATATTATACTTGTGATCACTTGGTCACACATGATCTGATATCATATAAAATTACAAATTCAATCGAAAAACTTAAGCTATTAGGTGAATGCATATTAATGGTCTTATATGTTTATATTATATATCTCTAACGGAGTCAAGCCTAGAATAGCGTTTTTATGTAAAACTTTAGAGTGGAATTTGGATGATTTCAACCTTCACATTACCTTTCAGAAAAGTTATGAAACTAAACAGATGCATTATGCATACACGTACAGGTAATGAAGCTTGAGCAATTACTCATCTTTGTTTTGTAACAGAAAATAGTAATGCATGTATTGGAATCAAATAAGGAATTCTGTTTTGAGAAATTATACCCATGAGAGATGCTTCCAAGATACGTTGAGCAAGTAGAACCTCATCAGTTGGATTAACTATGCCAGTTTCTGATGAACGCTTTTGGATTTTGGTTATGGTATATATGGTGGAGCCAAAGACCACAAGCATAGTTGCTGCTACAGTTTTTGTGACTAATGGGCTCTTCCCCTGCTTCAAGAGGTCTAGCCCCTTGACCACCAATTTCCGTATGGGATTTGCAAAAGAGAGTGTGATGATGAATGCCATTTGGATCATCAAAAGTGGAAATAAAAGTTGTATCATCTTTGCAGAACTGATTGAATGTTGATTTCTGTGGTAAAGGTAAGATGAGAGCCTGGATAGAAAACAAACTTATTGTCTTTTTTGTTTTGTTTTGGTACCATGTGTTTATAAGCTACTTTTGGAGATTTGTGAGGTTAGGCAAAGAATTATACCATGCTTTCTTTTCCAAGACAGCAGGAGGCACAGAATAACTTAAAACATGAGGAATCAATGGCAGCACGCTTGATGAGAATAAAACTGAACATTACCTGCAAGCTTAGGTTATGTTCTCCTGTCCAATCATTCGATAGTCTATTATACATCATATGTGATATATATCATAGTTTTCCAGCGAAATATGACGAAGCTCTTAAAACATTACAATATTAAAAGAAAATAAATGTATCAGATGAAGCTTTTGACAAATAGCATATCTTTTAAAATTTTATAATATAATGTTATGCTAAAAGTTGACATGATTTGACTCGAATTGCTATGAGACAAAAATGTATTGGTAGACATGATCAAAAGAAGGGCATTGAAATTTCCATAACAAAATTCATTTTTAATTTTCATTCTTTTTCATCTCATAGGAAACGTTGTACCAAACTAGGATGACAGTGCATTATTCATTATAGTATGCACGGATGGATACACATAACCTAAGATCACAGGAATTCTTACATAAGTTTAATTAACGGCAGAGTGTAATTTTGCTACAAATAAATTGGGCTACATGCTTATGCCTTATTATCATCCCCACTTCCGAGGGTCCTATCTTATTCTGGATATCAAATTATGAGATGTATCTGAAAATTTTCACAAGTGAAAAAATATTGTAGCACATAGTAGTACTCAAATGAAATCGCATTATTACTTCAGGGAAAATCCCTAAAATATAGTTCATTGTTGTTTCATACAATTTCTCAGCCAAAAACTGTGATCCTCTTCATATTAAATGAGAGAAATAGTAGGAAGACAAAACACAAACACGCAAAAGGGTTTGCTCATTACAAATTATAAATTATGACCAGCCGCAATTCATTACCAAACATAACGGTATCCATTAAGGTATTTGAATTTTCAGATGTTTAATTTACTCCAGTAAACTTGAAGTGCACTTTATATATCAAGCAGAAGCCTGCGAGGATCCTCCACAATATCTTTGATGCGTCGCAAAAAGAACACTGCCTCTCTTCCATCAATTATTCTATGGTCATATGTTAGAGCAGTGTACATCATTGGCCTTGGGACAACATTTCCTCCAACAACCATCGGACGGCTCACTATGGAATGCATACCCAAGATTGCCGACTGCCCAAAAACAATAACTGCATGAGTTTTCTTTCTAAATGATTATATTCATATTTTATCTCACAAATTGCTCACAATTATTAGGCATCATTAAAAAATCAATTATCCAAAATTTACTGCAGGCAAGGAATAGATCAGAATATTTGGCACGATGTTTTGAATTATACTGATCGCACTATGAAAAAAATTGCATGTTGAAGAATTACTGGTGACAAAAATAGTGTCCGTTTTCATGATATGACAAATAATGCATAAAACTTTGAAAGATAGAAGTAAAGAGGCACTTGTTTGTTCACACTTCCTATCATCTGTCTGTTTTCATGATATGACAAATAATGCATAAAACTTCCGAGAGATAAAAGGCACTTGTTTGTTCCCACTTTCCTATATCATCAAACATAGCCCATAGGAATCATTTGAGGAAGGAAAGCAGTCAATGATTAAGTACTATGATCTTTAGAAAGAGAAACAAATTCAAAAATATATATCAAAGAATGGTTCATAAAATAAAAGAAAACATAATGGGCGTTATCATAGAAGAACTTCCAAACCTGAGGGGGGTTGATAATAGGGGTACTCAAAAGACTCCCATAAACACCACCATTTGATATTGTAAGAGTGCCTCCAGCCATCTCATCAATTGATAAAGTTCCATCATTTGCCTTCTTTGCAAAAGCATTGATCTGCTTTTCTATATCCGCAAAGTTCATGCTATCAGCATTGCGGATAACTGGCACAACAAGTCCCTGGGATGGCATTTAAAGGTTAATATTCGTTGTAGCTCAAACACGTCAGGCATGATGACATGACAATATATACTTGTTACTTAGCTCCTTAATCCAACCATGACAACATCAATTGACGAAGGTCAATGAGAAATGGTGAAGTTTCATCAAAAGTATAATACATGCAACCCCAACAATTTCTCTACATCATAATACAAAATAAAAGAGAAAGGTTAAGGTGACTGATAAACACCTTTGGAGTACCAACAGCTATGCTGATATCTATATAATCTCTGTATATAATATCATCCCCATCAATGACTGCATTTACAATCGGCTGATGTTTGAGTGCATTGACAGCAGCCTAACATAAAAGACAACATAAATTACATAAGGAAATAAAAATTGAAAGCTCATTTACTCTATACTTCAGAAATTTGAAAGCATACTTTGATAAACCCAGACATAAGTCCCAACTTGACTCCATGCTTTTCAACAAAAGCATCCTTATAATCAGCACGGAGCTTCATCAAATTAGTCCTATCATAAGAGCAGAGAAATCAGGGAAAGAATGACAATGGTAATCCACTATATCAGGCTATGACAAGAAACACGGCATCAATAATCTGACAATTTCACAAATGGGGTAGACCCTTTTCTATGTTAAGTCTACATAAGAACTGAATTTCCTTTTTTTCCTTGAATTCAATCAATGGCATGTCCCGTGATACAGGTGTTATCACATGGAAACTTGTGAAGTGGCATAATGTAAATAACATAGATAAGCTAAAATTAAGTACAAATCTAAAAAGAAGGGAAAAAGGTTTCAACCCAAATGCAAATGTATGCCAATATCTCCCGCTTCTTCTAAACAACAACAAATTAAAAATGCACACCTACTAGGACATGTAGGATTTGGGAGAATTTGTAACAGGTTTTGTTGTTCTGACATAAATACCAAGAATAATTGACAGAAATACCATGTTTTCCAATGCATCATAGGTGTAGCAGACAGACCATAGGTTGGGGACATCACTAAATTTAGATGTGTTCCACAAGGACTGTGCCCACAATATTCAAGATTGTAATTCAAAGTAGGGCAGAAAAGAGCAGCTTGGTTCTATAAAGCTCCCGCGATGAGCGGAGTCTATAAAAGGGTCAAACTGATGATTGCATAGGCTTTATAGTAGGGAGCCTTACCTTGCATTTGCAAGAGGCTGATCACATGAATCGATTGTGTGACCTCCGGGTCACATGACGACAACAACAATTGTTGTGCCAAGGTTCCCTTTCTAATTCAAAGTAAGGCGTAACCAAATAATGCATAATAGGGAATATTTATACGCATGAAAAAACCCTAAGCTGGAGACAATATTCAAAGCTTCTGCTACAATTTGACAATCAATAAAACTTACATATCAACTTCATTGAAGGTTGTCAGCATAGCAAATGTGTTTTGGGAATCTTTCAACCGTGTAGCAACTCGCTTCCGAAGCCTTGTCATAGGAACCTTTGATAATGAAGGAAGTCATCAAAACAACTTTCCTGATTGCTATACATAATTCAGGTGGGTGTAATAATCACAAAATCGAAATAACTCACTCGTCTTTCTCTTTCCTTAGGGGGAAGCTGTGGCTCAGTTGGAGAGCTGAGTATAGCAGAAGGAGCTTTGGGCTTCTCTTTAGTAGGAGCAGCTTCAACTTTAGGTGCTTTCTTCTCCTCAGTAATCTTTTGGGTTGGCTGAGGAGCAGCTTTTTCAGATGTAGTCTCGGATGGGGCAACGTGAGTTGTAGCATCAGCAGACCTTGAAATGATTGCTATCTTGTTACCTGGCTCAACAGTATCCCCTTCATTGGCTAGAAGCTGCAAATCATTAAATAGATCACACAAACCAAATTAAATTAAAAAGAAATAAAAGATTAAAAATATCAATCATTTTGGGGGTGGTTTGTGGGGAGTACAACGTTCTAAAAGTATTAAAAAGTACCTTCAGAATCACACCTGACTCGGGACTTGAAACATCAATTGTCACCTATTAAAGGAATAAGAAAAAGACACCTCAATAATTATTTAGGAATCTAGAAAATTGGATCCTCTTATTACCACCATGATCCTTCACAAACATTCGCATGTTTCAACATAGCACCTTATCTGTTTCAATTTGAGCAATTGGTTCGTCAACATTAACCCTGTCACCAGGCCCTGCTCCCATACATCAAACACATGACAGTCAATCACCAATAACCATTGAAAATAGCGATTCAAGTAATGTAAACAAAAACATATAAAAGTAGTTAACATACTCTTCAAAAATTTCGCCAGTGTTCCATCAGCGATAGATTCAGCCAACGGAGGGACCACAACATCAACCGTATCTCCTTTATCACAAAAATAAATAACATTTGATATCTTAAAAGTATTAGCAATTAAAAGCCAAACAAAAACAGGTTAATTAAACAACGTAATTGCCAGGCAAATGAAAGCTACATTAATTAACTCTTGACCTTCGCAGAAGGAAAAATTTGGTCCGAGACTCTAGACTCTCACTAACAAAATGAAACTGCATTTTAGAACATTCACCAAATTCCTACGGATAACCTCAATGGACATAATGCACAAAAAATAGAACAGAACTTCTCAAATGTAATGTGTAGTCCTGTAGTTTGTACATGACACTATATCAATGACCCAATGATTGCCATTCATTCTTTACCATACTGAATCTTAAAAGACGCACCATTATATTCTATATTCTATATTCTATTATAATAAATCAGTTATACAGTAGCTAATTTTTTTAAAATTACATACATGCAATATTCTATCACAACCATTGATATTGTGAAATATTTCATTTTCAAAAAGTTACACCTCTTGTAATAAGCATGATATGCATGCGGTTATTCTTCATGAATTAAAGGAACTTTGACTAAAAAAGCAACTAAAACGAAAGAAAACTGTTAGGCACATAAATATCTCACCACTTTCTGAAGAAAATGGACGCCTCCAAGTTTGCATCGTGGCCTCTTGACGAAAAACCTCCCTAAATAGCAATATAAGGTAATCAGAACAGTACCGCTGACAATGAGTGAGAGTAACTACCCTTCTATTCGATTCACACACTAATCAATGGTTTGGAATAACAGAATCAGGAAAAATTCTTAATCATACATTTTCAGATGATTACATTCGCACAGACACAAAACGGCAGAAGCAGGGGGAAATAACCAAGTCAATCTGTTATTGTTGCACCCCAAACTCAATGTGATGAGTTCATCACAGAATTTGATGGAGTACAAATGAAACTAAAAGGTTACAGTAAATGCATCTTTGGATTATTCTGCTTCCTTTAAAAAAACAAAGAAATGAAAAGAAAAAGCAAAAATGTCATTTAGACTTGTACCGCTGGGACATCCAATGCCCTTAATAACAACACTAAACTTAAATACTTGGTTTATATCAACATCAACATCATCACCGCCTTTATGCCAAACTAGTTGGGGTCGGTGGCATATGAACCCAAATGAAAAGTATGAAAAAATTGAGGATGAAAATGAAATACTTGGTTTTTATATGAAGATGGAATTGTGATGTGCATGTTTAGATGCATAAGCTAGCACTAGCAACATACAAGAAAAAGTGTAAAATTAGCAACTAAATTAAAACCAAAGAAGGCAAGGAAATCATGCTAAAGCCTAAAACTAGATTTATCACAACAAAAATTTAGGGTTTACTCGGCTTTGAAAGCAATTTCATTCTTTCATTTTCTTCACCATAATTTGTTATTATCATTTCTTTCTATTTTTCCCTTTGAAAAGCACCTTTGTTAGGAAACAGAAAATGTTTCCAAATTATTTTATTTTCATTCTAGCAATTTATTTAAACCATAAGAACATCGTTGAAGCCTCCAAATCTAGTTATAACATTTCAAGGTCTGGTAGGAGAGCTCGATCTTATGTTTCCTGACTTTGCCAACTTTAAAGATTGCTATAACTACAACAAGCATGTTTTTAGGTGTGGTACGGACCCTCCTCTAAAGATGTATTCACGTTGGAAATACAAGAGCATGGTAGCTTATGCTGAGTTAGCAAAGAGCCAGTTTGAGAGGGAATATTCCAGAAGAATTCAACAGAATTCAGTTAGAAGAGTTTGGTACGGCGAATGAGGGATAAGTAAGGGAAGTGGGAGTGTTTGAGGGGCATCCGAAATCTGGCTTGGACCTTTGATTTGGGAGAGAGTAGAGCCTCCCTAAATGCTCTACATCATCCATTTTCTTTTTGCTTGAATTTCCTTCATTTCAGTTTGTTTCTTGTAATCAGTTGTTTCCATTCTCTGTATCGTTGAGTTTCATGCCAGTAACACAAGCTCTGTTTCTCATTCGAATCATTATTTGTGTTCTGTAATTTTCTATTATTGGTTGGATCTTTATGAATTGATATTAGAGCTTTCACTATGTTTCCCAGTTGCAATCAAGCGGAGCGAGTGGTGACACTGACATTGCAACGTCCCCCCCAAGGCTAGTAAAAAAACTAGCGCCAAGGCAGGCCGTGTGGGCGCCGAGGCTGTGGAGCATGATAGGATATTACGATCCAATTGCAAGGTACGGGACTTGGAGTCCCACATCGGAAACATAAGGTTCTGTTGTGGGGGCTTATATGCACTTTGGGCTCTCTTACAATACAATCAAGCTCTTGGGGTGATCTCTCCCAAGGTTCGTATAAGTGTGTTTGATATTTATAGGGAAAAAAGAAAGAAAACCAAATGCTTAACCAAGTGAACCCTTACTGACTCATTTTTCTAGCTTAGAGCCAGCCATTTTTTAATAAATTAAATAAATAGAATCTTAAAGCAATACTTAAAGCCTATGACTAATATATGTGCCACTAACCTCATAGGCTTTAAGTTAATCCAGGATCCTGCAACAGCAAAAAAATTGATGATACAAATTGCAAGATTGCATAAATCATTTGAGGTAATACCGGTTAACAAATTTTAAAACAATAATTCATCCAAAGTTACCAGGTGTTATATGGCAGAAGTTTCGGACATTTCCACATCCTCTTGGATGAAATGCAATCTGTTAAAAACAATAGAAACTAGTTGTAAGAACCTTTCAAGGATATGACTAATAACAAATCCTAAACCTCTAAAATGACATAGACTGATAGACCCTAGGTAAAGATGGAAAAAAAGAAGAAAAGAAAAGAATGAGGCCATATTCCCCCATGGTAAAAAATGTGTAAATGATACACTTTATCAAGGAAAGATAGATTACATAAGCATGTATGCTAACTGTTTCCAAGAAATATTTATATAGATAAAAGAAGAATTCCATAGAGAGAAGAGAAGCAACAAAATAACAGTGTCAGTGATAATAAGCCATCCTCCAAAGTAAATAAGTTGTCCCAACTCCGAAGAAATTCACTTTGGGTGGTCTATAAACTAAGCAGTCTCTGATGAACAAATGTAGGCAGTTCAAAGATGAACCTATATATCAATCTGGAAATAAAATAATTTACTGATTTTAATCGAGTAAAATTAAAACCCTTACCGAAGCATGTTGAAATTGAACAATAATCAGTGAATCCAATAAAATTTTGAACAAAATTCAAACAACACAGAAGAGAACCAGTCATAAACAGAAATGATGATGACCAATTTCTTTTCAAAATGTTGAAAAATCTAGAAGCCATGTAGACACTATTTTCAATGTGAACAAAAAAAAAAGTAGTTAGAAAATGAAACTCACCAAATGAACATGGGAGCCTAACAATTTAAGAAAGATGATTTTATCAAGATAGTTACAACCATTTGGCAAGATTAGGGAATTACCACTAAGGACCCAATAGTTGAACATTTTATTTATGCAAGTGATAAATGTTTGTGCAGGTTGTGCATTAAACACATATACCAAAAATAACACCTGGGTAATCATACATATCTTACAGGAAGAAAAAACACATTAGGAGAGTAAGATGCAGCAAATTGAGAAAAATACCTCTTTTTCCACACTGGAAGAAACTCGAGCAGGAACTGATGGACCAGACCGGATTTTCTGCACTGACTGACCTACAAACTGGAACAAATGCAGAACAGGTGTCAGGATTCACTTAAAATCGAACTTCAATCCATGGATTAACACACATTCAAATTGAAATTTCATCATAAAAGATTAGTGACTTCTCACCAAAGGAGATGAGCTGCCAGATGCAACCCTTCGCCTTATGACACCAAACATGATTAGGCTGTCAGGTATCTCTTCCTCTTCTTTTCAAATTCAAACCTAATTTAACAAATAACAATTTCAACAACATCATAAACTGACAAATCATCTTGAGTGAGCAGAAAATGCACGCATGATCCACTTCGTTTCAAAACTATAATAATAATAATAATAATAATAATACAACTGTTGTGATGTATTCTCCTGTTTCAGCTGTTCTAGATGCGGATATACAATTTCTACGAATTGAAGAATTTTGCAGGAAAATAGTGAAAATGCGATTTTCTCAGCAACCAAACGGATAAAACGAAAATGCTGCCATGAAAGACGGAAGAAGAGAGATTGAAGAGGGGAGAACCTGAGTGCCAAACGCAGAGATTTTGCAGATCGAAAGGTAGGGTTGATGGTCGAATGGATGCAAAGAATAATATACTTTATTCTATTTATTATTGTATTTGTATCTGTCTAATTTCCCTTTCTTTTCGTTATTGTCTCGTATATTTTCCTTATTTTCAAAGTCAACAATCGCGTGTTTTAAATACTTTTCTTTTCTCGCATTTAAATACATCTTATAAACATATTTATTTATTTATTTGAAAAACATTTTTCCTTTTAAAAAATATAATGTTACGTTATTTTATATTCTAATTATTATTTCCGTATGATTATAATTTATTGGTTCAAATTTATTAATTAATTAATAATAAATTTGACTCAATAAATTATAACTATTGATTGACGAAAATCAACGATTAAAATCTAAAATGATATTATATTCTTTAGAAAGAACAAACGTTTTTCTTTTCTTTTTATGGTAAATACATCTTATAAATATTTTGATTAGCCTTATTTTAAAAATTCACTTTTTTATTTTGTTTAAAGTTTTAAAAAATAATTATTATAAAAATAGACTGAAATAAACATAAATTAAGTATTGTGGATGAAAGAAGGTAAAAAATATCAAAATACACTAGCTTGTATCAGGGGTGTTCATCAACCGATTCAAACCGCGGTGATCGAATCGAAAAAACGAAAATCGAATTAATCAAAAATCGAAAAATCGAAAATCGAAAAAAAAAAACCGCAAAATTTAATTAGATTGTATCGGTTTTTGGATGGGTGGATGAAAACCGATCCAATTATTCCTCAACCTTGCCATCTACTTACTTGGGCTTTTCTTCAATCATAGCCCAAAAATCATATAGCAAAATTCCAAATTCAAAACTCATTAACCCATCATGTGGGAGAAGGTGGATTGTGTATGATCTATGTTATGTTTTTTTTTTGTAAGATACATAATATATTTTTATTACATAGGTTATTATTGTACAGCAGCTCCTCTATAGGATAAAAATTTGGATTACTTCGTATCTCAGACAATCATATTATAAATTTTTTGTTGAAAATAAAAGATTATAATTTAACTTTTTGTTGTACAATGCTTCTAGATTGCACAATAATCATCATACAAACTTTACAAAGTCGATACATATAAAAGATATGTTATTTGTCAAATAATCATCATACAAACTTTACAAAGTCGATACATATAAAAGATATGTTATTTGTCAAATAATCATCATACAAATCTTAGGCTTTTCAAAAAACCAAAAACCAATCCAATCCAAACAGAATAAAATTGAATTGGATTGGATCGGATTTGAAAAAAATTCAAACCGAATGGATGATTACATGATTAAACCGAGGGGATTGGATCAGATGATTTTTACTTTTAAAACCAATACAATCCAGACCGCGAACACCCCTAGCTTGTATCCTTTAAAATGATAAATATTTTTTTCTTTTTCTATTAGATCTTACTTTTCTTTTTCTTTTTTGTTTTTCTATTATCCTTTTCCTTTGTAATTTGTAGTTGTTTAATTAGTATAACTTTATATAAATTTATTTTATCAAGATACAATTTAAATAGATATATTATATGAAGTTCATGATTTTGTTTTTTGGTATACGAGGATGGTGACTATTTTGTTAAGATATATTTAGTACTAATAAAATTACAATAATTACAAAATTTAATAAATATTTCATGAAAATATTAACAACTCCTTTGTAGTAGTTTCCTGTTTGAAAGCTGTTTCTTACTTTTAGTTTAGGAGCTTTCCATGATGACAAAAAGAGAAATAATTTTACATTTCATGTTGCCGAAAAAAAGTACACATTAAATGATATTATACAAAAATAAGACATTATGGAACACTAGAAAAAAAAAATCTCTTATTATTTTTGTATTCAATAAAATTAATATAATACAAAGAAAAGTAACAAGGAAGGAAAATCGCATAATAAGATTTCACTTTTTTAAAATTTTAGGTTGAGATGGTACAAGGCCATATTATATTTCTTGCAGAAATTAGTAAATAAAGAAGAGAAAGAAAAAATAATAAGGAAAGTGTTAAATATAGAGTTTGTTATAAATATTTGAATTACTGTTTGTATATGTTTAGATAGAATCCTCTGATTTGATTTGATTCAGTAGAAAGTTGTTGAAGATATTGTTAGTAGCTCCATTTTTTTAGGATGTCATAGCTGTATAAATGTACCTCCAAATTGGAGAAAAATTATAAATGAGAATACAAAATATTTCAGTAACTCTCTCTGTGATCCTTTGTGTATGTTAGTGTTGGAGTTTTGACATGGTATCAGGTTCGTTCTGATCCTGGGAAGTGTTCTTTAAACTCTCATTTTTCTTTTACTCCATCCGTACCTTTCCCAATTTTTTCACCCCACCCGAACCCATTTCCTTTCTTTCACGTCTTTATCCCACCCGTATTAGTCTTGCCCGCATCTGTTTTTTTTTCCTTTCTTTTAATTCGACCCGACCCGCCTCAGCAATTCCTACTTTCCTTTCTTCTTCTTTTTTCCCCAAATGGAGAACCCTAGTTCTGACCATAACGCCGACCACGAAGCCGAACCCCAACCAAACCCAAATCAGTTGCCCCCCTCCAATATTGTAATCCATCAAGACAATGCGTCCTTCCCCATCACGGTGGTCCTGGATGACACCAACTACCCGCTATGGTCACAATTGATGGAGATGCGCATAGGCGCTCGCAACAAGTCCGGTTTTTTGACCGGTGACACACCCAAACCACCCGTCGCAGATCCCACCCATGGTGCCTGGGTCACTGAAAACAAAAGGGTGAAGAGTTGGCTTATTGAATCCATGTCTCCTTCGTTGATGAAACGGTTTCTTCGCTTGGAGACTGCTCACGAAATCTGGGACGCTGCCCTTCGGACCTTCTATGATGGTTCGGATGAAACGTGTTTGTTTGATCTTAACCAGAGGTCGTTCAACACTAAACAAAATGGGAGGTCCTTGTCCATCTACTACAATGACTTGCTGTCAATTTTTCAGGAAATCGACCACCGTATGACTGCTCAGGAGGGCTCTGTGGCTGATGTTCTTCACCTGCACTCTTCTATGGCCAGGCTTCGCGTCCATATATTTCTAAGTGGGTTGGATGCCGAGTTCGAATCTGTCCGTGGAGAAATTCTTCGCAAGGACCCCAAATTGGATCTTGAACGAACTTACGCCTATGTGAGGCGTGAAGCTCAGCAACGTATCACCATGGGTCGCCCCTCTGCGTCCTTGGATCCAGCAGCGTTGGTTACCCACTCGCCGCGTCCGCCCTCTGGGTCTCAATCCTCCAGACCCCGACGCGACTTGTCCAGGTCCAGCTCCCTTCAGTGCTCTCATTGTGGTGATGTGGGTCACACCAAAATCAAGTGCTATGAGATCATCGGTTACCCGGATTGGTGGGACTTCACCAAGCGTCCCCGACGGAAGGTTCTCAACCGCACCTTGACCACCACTGCCGACGGTGACTCTTCTTCCCTCCCTATTGCTAATACCGTTTATGAAGGGATTCTAGGTAAGTCCTTCGCTTCCTCTACACTTTCTCAGAATTCAACTTGGATAATTGATACTGGTGCATCGGATCACATGGTTCGTGATCCCTCTTCCCTTACCTCTGTTTTTCCCTGTGACAAATCACATGTTTCCACTGCAAACGGTGGCACCTCCGTTATTACTGGTCAAGGCTCTATCCAATTATCCCCTCTGTTAACTCTTGATCATGTTCTTATTGTACCTAATCTTGAATGCAACTTGCTTTCGGTTAGTAAAATAACCACTGCCTTGAATTGTCGTGTAATTTTTTGGCCTGATTACTGTCTCTTTCAGGGAAACCACTCCAAGGAGATTCTTGGTTATGGTGTTAGGCAAGGGAAGCTTTATTTTTTGGATGTATCACACAATAATGGTGCTTCGGCTGTGGTTGCTGCTCACACTTCTACACTGGACAGGGAAAGGCAGGCAATTTGGTTGTGGCACCGGCGCCTTGGACATCCTTCATTTGGTTATCTTAAGCATTTGTTTCCTAGTTTATTTTCCAGTCTTTCAATTTCTGAGTTTAAGTGCTCTGTTTGTGAATTGGCCAAGAGCCATAGAATTCCTTTTTCCCCAAGCATGAATAAAAGTTCTATTCCCTTTCAAATTGTGCACTCTGATGTTTGGGGTCCTGCAAGAATCCCCTCATTTTCTAAATCCTATTACTATGTCTCCTTTATTGACGAATGTACACGTATGGTTTGGATCACGTTGTTAAAACAAAAAAATGAAGTTTTTTCTGCTTTCCAACACTTTCATGCTATGGTCCAAAACCAATTTTCATCCTCTATTCTTACTCTTCAATCTGACAATGGAACTGAATATGTTAATGGTGCTTTCACTAGTTTCTTATTATCAAAAGGTATAAAACACCAGACCTCTTGTCCCTACACACCCCAGCAAAATGGTTTGGCCGAACGGAAAAATCGCCACTTGTTAGAAGTAGTTCGTGCCTCTCTATTTCAAATGAACGTCCCTACCTGTTATTGGGGCGAAGCCATCACTTCCGCTGCATACTTAATAAACAGAACACCATCTAGTGTCCTCCACTTTAAAACACCTCTCCAAACTCTTGCATCTTTTTTCCCTATTCCTCATTTGTCTAAAATGGAACCTCGTATTTTTGGTTGTGTCACTTATGTTCATGTTCCAAAACCCTTACGAACCAAGCTAGATCCTTGTGCCCGTAAATGTATCTTTGTTGGCTATTCCACCACTCAGAAAGGATATAGGTGCTTTGACCCAATTGCTCACAAAATGTTTGTCACAATGGAGGCCTCCTTCCACGAGTCAGAACCTTTTTATTCAGGGGGAGTACCTATTTCTTCTTCTCAGGGGGAGACATCTACACCTTCACTCGGAGAAGAAGACATATGGCTATCCACACAAGTTGCACCTTCGGTTCCAACCAACTCAGACACAGGTGCTGCCTCTGAATCTGAGCAACAAAATGCAGTCCTTGAATCTGAAAATACAGCTGTCCAAGCCGAACATGCAGCACCCTCTCCAAGTGATACACCTTGCTTAACTAACATACCCGAAAT